TTACACCAAAGCCATGTAGAGCGGTGTTAGTAGAGTTTTAAAGATGAGAGATCTTGGTATTTTTCAGTTGTGAAACCAAACAGTAAAGAAGCTGTGAATTTATCTGATACTACTCAATAAGCCAGAGAGCTACTGCTGCCAGTTCTCTAATAGCAGTAACACCTTAGCAAGGGTGATTTTAGGAAGTGTGCCAGAAGGCCATGAACCAAGACTACAGTAAAGTCAAACATGAATTTAAAAAATAATTATGTACTATATATTCCACCCTCTAATTGTCAAAAAGATCCCAAATGATAAAATTAAATTTTCATGGTACCCTCTTTTAATAACACATTGCATCACTCATTTTCCCTCCTTTGTACTTCTACAAAAGCAAGGTTTCAAGACTTGGGAGAAAGAAAGAATAGGAATTTATATATTATGAGTCAACTCTCAGCACAAGTTTATATTAGGAATATCATATTATACCTGAGAATATTAGGGAGGGAGTCAATCAACATTGTATCTTAAGTATGCTACAATGTCAGGGAAACAAATATTACTTTATGACATGTGTTCAAGATGCTTAATAGGAAGAGCAATGTCCATATAGGTACATTTTTGATAGGAAAATAAGACACACACACTCATCAACTCTATTCCTTTCCTTGTTTCAGATGACTAACATACTAAAAATTTTACCAGTTTTATTTCTGTTTTATGTAACCAGTATAATAAAATCTTTATTAAATGTAGTAATAACATGGAGTCTATAGTGTTCCCTTACAAATGAAATAACAACACTATCTTCTCAGTATCTCAGTACTAGAATTTGACCCTTTGCTCCCTACTCTGTGAAGCAGAAATCTTAAAAGGTAAAGAGAAATAATTCCTAGTGTTCCCCTTTAACATACTAGTTCTCATCTAAAGGCTCCACCCTAAATCCCGCATATGCGTAGACCTTCAGATAATATATCCTAAAATCTTTTTTTCTCTCTTTTTGTCTTTCTTACTATTTATATTTCCATGAAAAATTACTCTATTTAGTCTTAGGTGGTCCAATGTACATGTGATTATTTTCTCTTGAGTACTACTACTAAGAATAAAGTGGCATACTTGTAGTCTTATAAATTTTCTGACATGCTGTGCTAAAATACAGAGTAATTAGCTATGTGGTCCAACACACAGTAGTAGACTCCTAAAAAGAACACTAGCGTGAAAGAGAAATTCCAAGCTAAGCAAAGTACAAGTCAACAGATGACAAACACATTAATGACCTATAACATAACTGGTAAAATCTAGAAACACACATCTAATTTATGCCTTTGTAATTCTTGAGATGTCAGTAAAAATGTCACATCTGCAATGATGGGATGGTGTACTGAATAACCAATATAGTAACTGATCTCTAAAACTGTCAATAAATTAGTGTCACAGAACTTCAGGGGAAGGAGAGACCTTGGTGAGCATGTAGTTGATTAATCCCCTCAAACTATGACAACAGTTAAGGATAGAGAAAAAATGTAATGAGATCATATACTTGATTTCTAGAAAGTAGGAAACAATCAGTATATACTTATACCACGGCAGAACCCAGGCTTGATTTCCTATCTAGTATTCTTCCCATGCCTCAAAGTTAAAAAAAAAAATTTTTAGTCTATGCATGGAAAACTCATAAATTCCTGAATATAGGTTTTAATTGCTGATAGCTTAACCAGAGAAACTGAAGGGCAGGAAAATTTATAAGTAATTCTTGTTTAATGCTGCCTGTTTTGTTTAACATGCCTACATATTTTCATCCCAAATCTGCCATACCACAACAAATACTGTAGGCCCACAAATAAACATAAATACAGCATAATACACTTATGGCTAAATACTTTTATAATTTTAAAAATTACTTAAATGTATAGAATAGTCTTAGTGAAGAAAAGAAGCCAAAAAAGGAGACACAGATTTAAAGATATTAGTGACTTGCCACAGTAATGTTAGAAAGGCAGAGAGGAAAGGTCCAACGTTTTGAGCACTGTTATCTACAGGAACCTCAGGTTTTCTGCATCAGTGAGTATGAGCCCCTACTCCTGCTCCCTCCCAACCCACATCTTCAAGTGCTATCCAACTTCCTGTCTGGAGTTCTCCAAAGTCATCCAGCAAACTTAGTTACTCAGAATGCTCTGTGCCCCTCCAAAATGAATGCTTACATTCTCTAGAAAAAAACTTTAGAAAAAAACATCTCATTTAAATCCTTTCATCATGGAAAAGGCAAGCAACAGCTGGTTTTAAGACAGGCTTTTGAAAATTTCATATGAGATGAATCTTTAGAATACACAGGCCCTCTAGAAAAAAACACTGAAAAGACAGCCAGACACTACCAAAAATTTTCAAAAAATAGAAGTCAACTATGTCTGAGTATATATCCAAGTAAGCATTTTCTAGTATCTGTTTTGATTGAAGGATAAACATCTTCTTTCCTTTTTTTTGCTTTAAGAGCTCCCTTACCAATTAACTCTTCTCATCCTTAAAAAAAAAAATAGACCGTGACCAACTTCCTACTGCATCTAAATATTTTTATTCCTTTAACAAAACCCTTCATTCTGCTTTATATCCTCCTTATTTCTGATTTTTAAAAATTCTTGCATCTCTCAAGTTTAAAGCTGGCCCAAGATTACTTTTAGCATATGGCTGCATGCATGGACACATGCTGCCGAATCTCTAAACTCACTATCCCTCTCAGTCACAGACATCTCCACTTGATAATCCCCAGCAAGAACTTCTTTGGTTGTTTTGCCAGATTCTATTTTTTCCCTTCTACACAAAGTCAGGTTAGGATTCCTAGACTTAATTATTTTAAAAAGGGCCAAATTCTCAGGGGTGGTGATAAAGGCACCTGCTTGGCTGACAGTGCTGCTGTAGACTTGATATTAGAGGTCAGCTGGGTCAGCACTTCTGCCTGAGTGTGTGCTCCCTCCCGTCAGCTGCCCTTTCTAAACCTCTGCAGCTCAATACCTGTTGGCGGTGCTGGTGCTGCTGCTCCCACTGCTGTGTTTCTGTGCCCGGCTCAACCTCCGTGGGGGCTTTGAATGCTGCAACCGGGGGCTCGGCATGGAGGGGAACGTTGAGGCATAGCCATGTTCACACTCTAAACAAATGGCAAGAAAAAAAGAGGAAGAGGTAAGAGGATATACCCAAACTCCTGGATCTACAGATCTCCAGTCCTTTCAGTAACAGGTTGTTGAAAACAGAGAAGAAAAAGAGGTAAATTTTTTCCATTCTTTCTGACTGGAAAAAAAGATTCCCAGTCCTTGCCTGGTCATCAATCCTGTGACATTATATACAGACCCAACTCACGCTTGAAAGGTGTACTAACACCTCCTCTAAACCAAGGAACTTCTCCCTCCTCTTCAAAATCCTTTTCTCCAAGAAATCTTGACGCAAACACCCTCATTTTGAATGCTGCAACCGGGGGCTCGGCATGGAGGGGAACGTTGAGGCGTAGCCATGTTCACACTCGGCTACTAGGCGTAGCCAAGTTCCTTGGTTTAGAGTAGGTGTTAGGACCCTCATTTCTGAGACCAGTTACCATTCACCTAAATTATTTCATTTGTTTCAAAAGCCCTTTTCGTATAACTATCCCCCTTCAAGGTGTCTCTCTAAACCCCACATTTGTGTGTACTTCAAACAATTCAATCACCTTGTTCTAGGAAGACATTTTCTCACGACACCACAATTTGCAGGGGTTGCACTCAGCACCCCAATCTCTTTACATTTCCCTTAGTCTCTATTCCTAAGGGAATCCCAGTGCACCGTATTTGGATGTGCAGAGGTCACTTCTTCACAAGTATCTGTCCACCTCCCTGCTCTTCAGCAGGCATTCCCCGTCTGGGCTCCGGGTCCTGGCTCCTCCACCCCGACAAGCACTACTCCCTCCTCCGGTTCTTGGCGTCCTCTTTCCTCCCAGGTCCTCAAATCACCTCCACTCTCACCACCTCTCCCCTTCCCTCTCCTCCCGTCCACTCAGGGCAGCCCCGGGTTCCAGCCTGACGCCTCCCTCAGTCTCTCCAGGAGACAGTGTCCTCCCCTGCTGCCCTTCCTGAACATGCACACACCCACAGGTGCCCCTCACACACATGCACACGTATTGCCTCATGTACCCCTTCATTCACATGCTCACTCCCTCACATGCTCCCCCTCACATAGGCACAATTCTCCTCACACACGCACCTCCCTTACCCCACCCTCCTGACACAGGCACCCCTCCTTACACACGCACTTACCTCACGTGTAACTCCTCCTCACACGCACTTCCCTCACACACGCACCCCTCCTCACACACACACCTCTTCCACACGCACCCCTTTCTCACACACGCACACCCTTCTTCACACGCGTCCCTTTCTCAAACACGCGCCCCCCTCACACACACTCCCTCCTCACACACGCACCCCCCCTCCTAGCAACGCACTCCCGTCTCACACAAGCACCCCCTCCTCACAGACACCTCTCCTTACACACACACCCCTCACACCAGCCGCACCGCGCTCCCCGCGCGGAAGAGGAGTGCGCGGGTTCAGGCAGTGGAAGAGGCGGCGGCGTCCAGCCGTTACCTCGGTCCCGGCGCTCCAAAAACTCGGCAGCCTCCAGCAGGCGCTGCACGTTGATCATCCGCACCTGCTCCATGGGCACCGCGGGCGGCAACCCGGGCCTCTCCGCACTCCCTTCCCCAGCCAACAGGAGGCGCCGCAAGCGGCTACAATCCGGCGCCGCCCCGGGACATGTGCGGCGTTCTCCGCCGCCCCCGCCGCCCGGGCCACCCCGCCGCCCTGCCGCCCCCGCGACTCCGCTGGCAACCCGCGCGGGGTTTGTTTACCTCTCCGCGCGAGCACGGGGGAGGGGCGGGAGCAGTACCGCGACCCGCCCCCTCCCGCCCCTTCCTCTGCCTCCTGGGAAATGTAGTCCCGCCCTGCCCACTGCACGCCGGGACTCGTAGTACGCACGACGCTTTAGTGCGCCTGCGCCTTGCCAAATTCCGCAATGGCCGCCGGGAAACGTAGTCCGTTTGATTTCTGCCTCCCGGGTGGAAAGACTAAGAAGAGGTTTTCTGGGCTTTGCTTCTTGGAGGGCAGGATTTGAACGACTGTGGGTCTACACCCGGGGAGCCCTTCTCTCAATGACTCCTGGAAGGTGCCCAGGAGCTGGAGCATGTAGTTCCACAGTGCCCCGCTCCAGTTCTCCATCTACTACTACTTTCTCCTGAACTTCCGCGCCTTGGTTTCCCTATCTGCAGAATAGATACTTCAAAAGCCAAAAATCCCAGCTGAGGAACAAGAGGTGATCCCGTCAGAGCCAGAGAGAGCTCCCATAAGGCCCTTCTTCATTTCATAGTTCACAAAGAGGTGGTGTTTTGTTTTTTAATCTTATTTTTAAAACTTCCTTTCCCCTCCCTCAGCCCCTCATTCGTGATTTTAGAGACTAGCAAATCTCCCTGGTGCTGCAACTGAGAGATACAGTTCGGTCGCTAAGTGATTTGGTGCTGGAGTCACACAGGGCTCAGTTAAAATTCTGACCCTTCTACTTACACTAACTCTGTGGACTTTTCAGACCTCATGTGCCTCACATCTATATCGGATGTAATGACTCCATTTATCCAAACACTGAGGGCCTGCCATGTACCAGGCACTGTACTAGGCATAACGTGTACAGTAACAGGTGAAACAGACATGGGCCTTGCTCTTAAGGAGTGTATAGTCAGTAGGGCTTATTGTGACGATTAAAGGAAATACCAGAAGTTAGTACGTGGCGCTCAATAAATGGAAGCTATGATGATCGTTCCTCTCATGTTCTCCTCCAAAGAGAGGGAACTGAAAGCAGAGGCTAAAGACTGCAGGACCACATTAAAAGACTGCTAATGACTGCCAGCCCCCTATCCCCACCCCCACACACTGTCTTTCCAAGTCCTCAAAGTCTAGATCAGAGTTTATCAACGTCAGCATTAGCGGTATTTTGGGTGAATAATTCCTAGTTGGGGGAGGGGTGGGGTGGGAGGTTTGGTGGAGACCTGCTCATTGAAGGATATTCAGGGCCCTCCCTGGCCTCTACCCATTAGATGCCAGTAGCAGACCACCAACTCAGGTATGACAACCAAAAACGTCTCCAGACATTGCCAAGAGCCTCTTAGGGCACAGAGCACCTCTGATTGATCATCTCTGGTCTAGGGCAAGGAAAGGCCGTAAGATCATAACTGTTGAAAACTCTAGGAGCAGGCTAGGAATTGTATAAACATCCATAACTTTCCCCACCCTGATTATTTTATCCTGCTGGTGGACATCCAGAGTAACAGGAAGCTCTTGGTGAGGGGAAAATGTCCCCTTCCCTGTGGTCATTCCAGTGGTTACTGCAGAAAATACCATCTCAGAATGAAAATGTTATTCTCAAAAATGTCATGGGCTTCATGCTGCTTTCTAATATACTCTTCCCCCTTTCTCCCTGCAAAGTGAACAAGATTTCCAGTGAGGTCAAAATTCTGCCAAACTTTTAAAATATTACACTTGGCACATTTAAGAACCGAATAGATGTTCCATCAAATACAGGGAGACCCAAAATGAGAGATGTTCACAAGCCACAGGAGAACTTTTTTAAAGACGTTGAAACAGGAACTGTGCTTTTTCAGCTGTTAGCTAGGTTGCTTCAGATCTGGGCTTTTCCACTGGGTGTTGGTAACTACCACCCTCCACATTCAACAAGGGACATGTTGGGTAGGGGGAGAAAGGAATTATTTAAAAGAAAATACTTATTCACTCAGAACATCTGTAAGTTCAGGGTAGAAATTATTAGGTGGAAAGTTTCTACCACTTGCAAAACCACTTTAAGCTTTAGATCCTAAATTGCTAAGGGCTACCCCAGGAACTTAAAAGAGGTAGTTTTATAACAAATAAAATTCTACCCCATGGGAGGTAAACTTTGTGACATTCAATCAAGGAAAAAAGTACAGACTGAAAATACACATGGGTTCAATATGGGTTTAAATCCACACATCATAAGCCCTAGCAGGTTATTATGAGAAAGTAGGATGCTTGGTGCACATGCCTGACCTTTCACAGTTGACCTCCAGATGAATTAACCAACCCTTCTTTTAAAGCTATGGCCAAGAAGGAGTGGAGGAGATGAAAAGTAGTGTGAGAATCCCCAAAAAGCCACCTGCATATGTTGAAGAAGAGATGAGATGATAGTGATGGTGGGCAGTGTTAAGCACTGATTTCTGTACAGAAATATCCAGCCTCTTCTAACAGCAGTTGAAGGTGTCACTTCCTTCTTCCTGCTCCAGCTGACTCCCAGATACTGGCCACAAGGGCCTCCTACAGCACAAAGCTTGGGGCTCTAGCCTAGAAAAGGATGTCACTCACAAACCATCCTAAGCACCAGCCCAGCCTGTGGGAACCCAGAGGCAGCCATGGCTTCTCTTTTGCAGATAAATCCGAATTGCACTACAAATGCAAATGGGGAAACTGAGGAAAAACAGGGCTTCTAAAGTCTACTGACAAAAGAACCTGGAATGTTAGTCATAGGCTCTGGTTCTTCTGTCCTCTCCCTCAAGGGAGTATCTCACTCAGGGGAGTCTCATTTGATGGTGGAAAAAGTCCTCCAGAGTCCCCCAGCCCTATAACAAACACAGCCTGGATGGGAACAGTCTGCCTTCTGGAGGAAGCAGGCAAACCTCTCCATTCTTAGGGGTCCTTACCCTGAACGGTTTATTCAAGGTAGATTTTCAAATGCCTTATTGCAGATTCATGAACAGAGGAGGAGCCTGGTCTGTGTTACATCACTTCTGCAGACAGAAAAGAGGGGAAGGGGCCCTGAGGTTAAAGGTGCAAGTCCAAAGTCACTATTAATGACACCTGGTGCTTAAGAGAACTTCCTTGAAACTGCAAAGTGTTTAACTGTGCAGGGCACTGTTTTCCGAAATTATCTTTAAGGGTTGGGGGTGGGGTGTCTTCAAATAATCAAGGTTGGGGACAGGGGGAGTCCTGAGCTCCTAAATAAGAACCGTAACAGTTATACATCTTTCCATCCCCCACCCCAGAGTGACAACCGCAGCGTCCTCCTTGCCTCTCCCCTCAGAGCCCAGAAACGTGAAAAGCAGCAGAAAACCTTTTCTTCTGCCGAGTGAGTCAGCCTTGCCTAACTTCATGCGTAAGCTCTCCTCGAGTCAGCGGCAGCTCAGAGCTGCGGGTCTGTGTGCAGCCGAGATAAATTTGGGTCTAGAAGGGATGACGTAATGCTAAACCGGAGAGGTGGCTGCCGCCTCCCAGGGCTCCAGTCGCCAGGGCTGCCGGCTGACATCCCAACCACACGGAAAAGCACCACGACCCAGGTGCCTGAACTGGGGAGAAAGGGAAAGAAAGGACATTGGGGTGGGAGGAAATGGCAGGGGGAGGCAACGGTACTCTGAGATCGCTGAATCTGGAAGTTTGTTGTTTTTTAACTTTGGTTTTCTGGTGAGATCAGGCCACTGGCAGAGGCTCAAACAGCTGCACTTGACTTCCATCCTGGCCTGTGTCTTCTCTCTTAGAAAAGGGCTTCTTACATTTTATTAAATGGCCCTTATAACAGCAGCCTATTTAGGTGATTATAATGAATGTGTTAATCTCTCGAATGTCCTTTTCCTTCTTTTTTTGCATTAACGTGGGTCCAAGAAGAGATCTGCATTGCAGGACTTAATTAATATGCACACATAAGATTCTTGCTTACCCTGGAGCACTTCACTTGAGGGTGCAACTGGTGGAAGATCTTGCTTTGGCCATCCCAAATGAATATTCCTCCAAATAACATTTCATGGTTTGTTTTCATAGACGCTGTATCATTAAGCTTATTCTGCAGTTCAGTCTCCATTTTTCAGATGAAAAAACTGAGGCTCAGAGAGGTATGGTAACATACCAAGGCCACACTGCTATCTATCAAACTGATAGAGCAAGGATTAGAACTTAGTCCTACAGAATCTCATCCAGTGCTGTCTACCCATCTCCCTAATTCTTTTTCTAGTTGATCTGTGGTTTTAAAAATAAACAGATAAATAAAGTGGAATACATTTTATGGTCTTTTAAATTTTATGGAGCCCCTAGGATTAATCCTCTCAATATCAAGATCAAGTTATATTCCAAAGGGATCCAAAGCCTGTTCTGTTTTGTTTTCTGTTTAAGGGTCTTAGGAAAAGGAAAAATCAACTCCTCTGCTGGTGATGATCACAAGCCCTGGGCTCAGCCACACTACCTCATTTTAATTAGAAGACCAACACAGGTAAATGATCTCTGTTGTATGGAAGTAGCTCCCTTCACTAGGAATGTCTCCTGAATACTTTTTTCAAATGACATTTCATCTTGTGTTGCTGTGGTCATGTTTTATTCTCCTTAATTTGTGATTACAATCCTTTATACTGATAGATTTTGTGACTTTCAGCCATCTCTGGCATATATATCCTTGTCAGCCATTGTATGTTGTTCTTTAAAACACTGCTCATTCCATGAGTGAGTATTTTATTTAGAATGTTTGCATCCACATTCAAAAGCCAGAATGCACTGTAATTTTTTGTTGCACTTATCAGGTTTTGGAGGTAATGACCTAGTCTTTCAAAGTTAGATGCAACTTGATTTTAAAGCCTTAAAAAAAAGAAAAAAAAAAAATTACCAGAGGCCTTCCCCTGCTGTTGGGAGGATGGCCCACATTCTTACACAGCCCCGGGTAACCCTCCCTCCACTGGCAGAAGCCTGCCTACAGTGGCCCTGCCTCCACCCCTTGACATCACCACCCACTTCCAAGCAGCAGAAACTTGTGGCGGTCACTCTTAGGGCTCAGCCAGACCCTGGACACTGAGTCACACACCCAGCCTTGCTACCTTGTGGCTGAGTTTTCAGCCTCAGGTACACTAGTTAGAATAAAATACCAGGCCCTTGCTTGCCCAAGGACGTGTGTGATCTCACCATCTCTTCCAACTCTAGCATGCTGATTCCAGGATTCTCCAGAGATCCAAGAATAACATGCCTCCATTTGCCTATAGCTGTGGTGCCACTCATACAGTCAGTTCATTTAATCCTCAACATGTTCTGAGATTCCTGTTTCGCGTTCAAGGCCCAGAAAGGTTAAGTGATTTGCCCAGAGTCATACAGGTAGCGAACGGTTTCAAACCTGGATTTCCTAACTCTTGGACCCCTTAGAGTATATCAGGGTATGTTTTGTCAGACAAGGTCAAACAAAGCTGGTTATGGCAGTGGCCTCAATCAGGATAATACAATCCACCTGGAGGCTTTGGAATTGTGTAGGAGTGTCTTTCTTGAGTGTCACCATGACTTGGGAGTTCTACTGACATTTAATGAGTAGGAACCAGGGATGTTAAATCCTGCAGTATTCCAGATTAATCTGCTCAAGAGGAACTGTCTCATCAATAGTCCCCTTGTTGATAAGCAGTAGGTCAGAGGGTTGAAGGCAGAGAACTCATCATTTGTTCAACAAATATTCCTTAAGCCTCTGTTACTTGCTGCACACTAACCTAGATGCCAAAGAGAACAAAGAACAAAGCTACTTGTGGTCTCTGTCCTCAAAGTGCTTGCATTCTAGCCTGACAGACTGATTATAAGCAAGTAAAAGCATTGTAAATTGTGATAAGTAGGAATAAGGGATAAATAATAAATGAGGGTGAGGATAGCTTTAGGTGGGTGGAGGGATCAGGGCAATCACAAGGGTGTTTGGCCAGCTCCTCAGACTTTCATAAGCACATAGATCACCTGGGAATCATGCTAAAATGTAGTTTTGGATTCAGCAGTTCTGGGGTGGGACCTGGGAGACCCATTTCTGACATGGTCCTAGGAGACACCAGGGCTTCTATCTTCAGACCACACTCATGCCAAACAGTAGGGGTGATGGCCATGCAGGGAATTGGGATTTTATTCTAAGTGAGACAGGAAGGAAACTATTCAAGGGCTTTAACCAAGTAAATGATATGAACCCAGTTCTATTTAAGATCACCCTGGTTTCCTAGATCTCGATGGAGGAGAGCAAGAGGTTGGACCAATGCCTTTCGACCAGAACCAGCTGGCCCACGTTAGCAAGGTGGCAGCCAGGGCCTAAAGCTCATCTGTGTGGCTCACACTTGCCAAGCACGGGCCAGACCAGTTGCCCTACAAGCTCAGGCGCCTTCGGGAAACCTAGCAGAGCCTGACAGGGTGTGGATTCACAACCCCACACCCGCACGTGCAGAGCCTCAGGAGCCCTGCTGGTTGGGTGAGTTCCCCAGGGGGTGCTAGGCCAGGTGGTACTGCAAGGCCAAGCAGAACAGCCTAGGCCAGTGCCTTGAAGAACAAGGGCCCTGTCTGCTTTGGTGTCAATGCCTGAAGAACCCCAGAAGGCTCTGGCTGTCCTCTCTCTGCCCTAGAATGAATGGGAAGTAAAGAAAGTCACTCCTGGGAGGCTTCCCCAAGGGAACCCTCAGCCTGGTCTTCAAACATTCCACATTCCATGTCTTGCCTCTTGCTCTCTGACACTTCTCTAAGAGCCCTGAAGTCTCCTAGCAAGAAAACCTGATTTTGAGTCTCAGCCCCACTCTTTGTGAGCAGGTGGGCTTGGGAAAGTTAGCTTGCCTTGCTAAGGCTAAGGCTTTCCTCATCTGTAAAATGAGGATAATGATAGCACCCTTCTATTGGATGAATGTCAGGATTTAATATAAAGCACTTAGCATTGTGCTAGTGCATAGTAACTGCTCATTGAAAAGGCACCATTATCACTGTTCCTTTGGAAAACAGAGACAACAATACACTTGTCAGCAGCTACCCGCCCCCACCCCGGGGACAGGCTATCAGACTCCCAGGAAACAGGCATGTATTATTTGTTGATTCCTATTTGTCTGTCACTTGCACTGGAATATAGAACTCGACCTGGAGATCATACACATTGCACTTTGGAAGTACCAGGCATGGTGCTCGGCTCCTCACAGGTGTTAGAAATGACGTGTTGTACTGAGCTAAACTTTACAGTTGGTGGGAAAAAGGAAATAAAGTTGTATGCAACACACTCAGAATCTTGGGAGTCAGGAAATATAGTAGAGATGGTCAGGTATGGTTGACGTAAGAAGGAGATCACACAGGACTGTACGGTAGTTCTGGGCCCCTATAGAAATAAAAACAAAGGCTCACGCTTGCCACTCTTGACCAGAAACACAGCAGCCCTGGACATGCTCTCCATTTTAATACAGTGGTATTAAAACAGTCCCAAGTCATCTTTATTCAAGTATACTTGCTAATGGCAATAAAAATACAGAGTAAAATATCTCAAATAACAGGTAATCCAAATCCCCTTTTATTAGCTTTAAACGTCCCAATCTTTCTCTCCCTCTGTGACACTGTGTTTATCTTTCTAATTTTGCTATGTATGTTTAAATTTCCTCAGCAGACACTGTAGTTGGATATTAGAGAGATGAGGCCAAAGGCATGTTCGATGGGACAGCAGGCATGGTAGAAACATTGGTATGGACAATCCTCCAAGTGCAGAGTGCCCCAATCTGTAAGGAACTAAGAATGGAATGTGTTTATTTACAAGGTTGCTTACACAGTACTTGATTTCCTAGGCTCGGGCAGCTTAAAAAGGGGGGTAGGGGAGAGTCAGATCTATAAAAATTATAAGGATAAACACAAAACACAAAGGATTTTAAACATCAGGCTGGGGGGTGGCAGGGTACATGGAGGGAGGAGAGGGACTACTTTCTCTTTTTTTATTTTGAAGCCCAGTATAAATTTTTGTTCTCTCTGTAATGATGGCTAGAAGCAAAGACACCAAGCCCACGTCAGATGCAATCCACATTGTTGAGGTTTACTTTAAGACACGTGAATTTCTAAAATCTGGCACTGGAATAGAGTTTAAGCCCACGATGGCAGGGACTGTATCTCCGGGCCCTAGCACAAAGCTGACATAAAGCAGTGTGTACGCCTTAAATACCAGCTTGATGAATGGTTGGATGAACAGACTCACAGAACAAATTTAGGGAGAATTCCTGGCATGCAACATAATTCCACATTTTATAAAATTATTTGCCATGGGGGCCTTTTAAAGAGAGGTTCACTAACCTAAATTTTAAAAAAAGAGAGAGAGAGAAAGATCCTATTTACATATATTTCCTGGAGATGTATTGCTCAAAATGAGGGTCACCTGAACTTTCAAAATATTTCACAAGCGAGGGGCCCAGTAGAACATTCTGCCAAGATGAGGAAGCAAAGGAGGAACCTCCAGCTCAGATGGGTGGTGGCAAATGCCCATTCGTTTTGGCCAGAGAGATCAAGTCAGCTGCTGACAGCTTTAACACCTCCAGCCAGGCCACTCAGGGACAACAGTATCAGAGAAAATGATTTCCCTTTAGTTTGGCAGAAGAGTCAGAGAGCAGGTGTCCCTCTCGTTGGAATCAAAGCTTCTTCTCGCCAGTGGAGCCAGAGCTCCACCCTCCACCCCCAGAGGGAGGCCCCTCTGGGAAGACCTGAATGCCGCCTCCTCAGTTAAGGCTGGAGAGCCGTCCTATCACTGTCATCACCTTTGGGTTCCACCCACGCTCCCTACTATAGACTTACAAGAAAATATTTTTTCTAAATGGTGAATTCAAATTATCTTCATTTTGAAAGACTATTGAGAATGTTGCAATGACCTCTGCAATAACCAGACACACCCTGCGATCAGTAAACCAGGGTTGAGAGTTGCTGACTTTATGAGCACCTGACCTGTAAAACAAAAGCCTAGTTTGGGGCTCTGCCTGGGACCCATTCTCACATCAGGCAGGAGGGAACACAGCCCAGACAGACTTGGTTCTGCCTCTGCTGTGTCGTCTTGGGCAGGCCACTGTCCTTTTCTGGGCCTCAGCCTCCCCATCTGTATAGTGAGGATGATGGAAGCTCTATGACCTCTGGGGCTTTTCCTGGCGCTGATGTTCTCTTACCACCTGCCTCCTTCAAAAACATAACCGAAAGGGGATGGAAGGAAGAATGGGAAAGGGAAGAAAACTATTGGTTCAGAAGGCCAGGCTACCGTAAACCTCCCCTCATTTCTGCCTGCTGAAAATGGCTTTCTTCATTCTGCAGGAAGATTCCCATTTTTTGCTGGGTTATTGCCTTTTACACTTCTTTTTCTTTCTGTCTCTCTTTTTTAACTCCAAAGCCACAAAACCACAATGCACCTCCCCAAAACGGGTCATCTGGAAGCCAGAGCTGTCAGGGTTTAGGTGTGTCATGCCTGGCATGCTGGTGGTATCTGAGTGAGGACCAGGCCAGGGCAACCTGTGCTTCTCCTCCAGAAACCCAGTTTAAATCAATATTTATCCAACTGTATTTATAGAAAGTGGTGGTGGTAGGGAAGAGTGGGTGGGGTGGGGAGGCAGGGGGACCTAAAACAGAACAAGCCACAATGACTGATGCAAATCTTTGTGGCCAATTCGTTTCTGCAGGGCCAGGCTTTTTTTTTTTTTATAAGGCAAAAGACTCAGCTTTTGATGAACCTGCTGTTGGCCCCAATACCATAGCAACAGCCCCAAGTCCTCTAATATGTCCAGAGGACAGACTTGGGAACGGCAGCACGAAGCGGGTGGTGTTTCCTAGGAGCCTAAACTTGAGTTAGGGCCAGG